ATTTGCATATTGATGAGCTAGCTACAGTGGGGGAAAAAAGTATTTAGTCAGCCACCAATTGTGCAAGTCCTCCCACTTAAAAAGATGAGAGAGGCCTGTAATTTTCATCATAGGTACACGTCAACTATGACAGACAAAATGAGAAAAGAAAATCCAGAAAATCACATTGTAGGATTTTTTATGAATTTATTTGCAAATTATGGTGGAAAATAAGTATTTGGTCAATAACAAAAGTTTCTCAATACTTTGTTATATACCCTTTGTTGGCAATGACACAGGTCAAACGTTTTCTGTAAGTCTTCACAAGGTTTTCACACACTGTTGCTGGTATTTTGGCCCATTCCTCCATGCAGATCTCCTCTAGAGCAGTGATGTTTTGGGGCTGTCGCTGGGCAACACGGACTTTCAACTCCCTCCAAAGATTTTCTATGGGGTTGAGATCTGGAGACTGGCTTGGCCACTCCAGGACCTTGAAATGCTTCTTACGAAGCCACTCCTTCGTTGCCCGGGCGGTGTGTTTGGGATCATTGTCATGCTGAAAAACCCAGCCACGTTTCATCTTCAATGCCCTTGCTGATGGAAGGAGGTTTTCACTCAACATCTCACGATACATGGCCCCATTCATTCTTTCCTTTACACGGATCAGTCGTCCTGGTCCCTTTGCAGAAAAACAGCCCCAAAGCATGATGTTTCCACCCCCATGCTTCACAGTAGGTATGGTGTTCTTTGGATGCAACTCAGCATTCTTTGTCCTCCAAACACAACGAGTTGAGTTTTTACCAAAAACGTATATTTTGGTTTCATCTGACCATATGACATTCTCCCAATCCTCTTCTGGATCATCCAAATGCACTCTAGCAAACTTCAGACGGGCCTGGACATGTACTGGCTTAAGCAGGGGGACACGTGTGGCACTGCAGGATTTGAGTCCCTGGCGGCGTAGTGTGTTACTGATGGTAGGCTTTGTTACTTTGGTCCCAGCTCTCTGCAGGTCATTCACTAGATCCCCCCGTGTGGTTCTGGGATTTTTGCTCACCGTTCTTGTGATCATTTTGACCCCACGGGGTGAGATCTTGCGTGGAGCCCCAGATCGAGGGAGATTATCAGTGGTCTTGTATGTCTTCCATTTCCTAATAATTGCTCCCACAGTTGATTTCTTCAAACCAAGCTGCTTACCTATTGCAGATTCAGTCTTCCCAGCCTGGTGCAGGTCTACAATTTTGTTTCTGCTGTCCTTTGACAGCTCTTTGGTCTTGGCCATAGTGGAGTTTGGAGTGTGACTGTTTGAGGTTGTGGACAGGTGTCTTTTATACTGATAACAAGTTCAAACAGGTGCCATTAATACAGGTAACGAGTGGAGGACAGAGGATCCTCTTAAAGAATAAGTTACAGGTCTGTGAGAGCCAGAAATCTTGCTTGTTTGTAGGTGACCAAATACTTATTTTCCACCATAATTTGCAAATAAATTCATTTAAAATCCTACATTGTGATTTTCTGGAGAAAAAAAAATCTCAATTTGTCTGTCATAGTTGACGTGTACCTATGATGAAAATTACAGGCCTCTCTCATCTTTTTAAGTGGGAGAACTTGCACAATTGGTGGCTGACTAAACTTTTTTTCCCCACTGTATATGTTCTCAATGTAAAATGACACCAGTGGATAATGTAAATGAGGCTAACCATAAGCCAGATCTTCTACATTATTTTTCGGATATTAAATTGTTTAGTGCAAATCCAACCCTTGTATTCTAGGTACAGTACTGTACATGAAAATAAGGAGCTGGCAATTTGTAGGCTCATTAAAAATGTCAAAACATAAAATAATGTGGCGTGGGGAGCGTTGTAATTCTACCTAGTTGGTTTGCTGAGAATGGTTTTAGAATACAGAGACAAAATCAGAAGGTCAATGGCATGGAGGAGGATTGCAGAGATGTTGGCTACCAGCTGGCTACCACCCGGTTACTCAACCCTGCACCTTAGAGGCTGCTGCCCTATGTACATAGACATGGAATCACTGGTCACATTAATAATGGAACACTAGTCACTTTAATAATGTTTACATACTGCTTTACTAATTTCATATGTATATTCTGTATTCTATTCTACTGTATTTTAGGCAATGCCAATCTGACATTGCTCATTCTAATATTTATATATTTCTTAATTCCATTCTTTACTTTTAGATTTGTGTCTATTGTTGTGAATTGTTAGATACTACTGCACTGTTGGAGCTAGGAACACAAGCATTTCACTACACCCGCAATAACATCTGCTAAATATGTGTATGTGCCCAATAAATTTGATTTGATGGTGGGTAAAGAGATATTTGCACAACAATGTTTGCAAGTCAAAGCCACAATTTCCTTTACCCAAAGTACCCATTCATGTTCATGTAGACCTATGTATTTTACAGGAAGTGAACTTTAATATTCAATGTCATGACACAAGTATAATTAAAGAGCCATAAGCTATAATATATGAGAATCATGTTAAGATACCATAATCCAATTGGTATCATATTACATGGGAAATTCATGCTTAGTGTATAATTTACAATGTTATAATGCGTGTTACTGGTGATTTCTATCCTTTGGGGGGCAAATTTCACAATTTAATTTAGTCAACACATTCACAACTGGTGGCTTTGATCACAGTTTTGAAGTTTCGTTTGCTTGATGTTCATAGCTTGCATTACCTACATAATTCACAACTTTTGAATAGGGGCCTAAAAAGCTATTGTTTACCTTTTATATTTCCAAATAAATAATGTATATTTGTTCGTCCCGCGGCCCACCACTCAGATTATATTTTGGCCCACCAAACAAAGGCCAAAATTTTAGCACCCCTGGTTTAGAGACTACTATCACACTACAAAAAAGATGATCAGATTACTTTTACCCCCCCCCCCCCCCCCCCCCCCCCCCCCAACAAATCAACCACATGAGGGCGCAATTCATAAGGTTTTGGATCCTATACCAGGGGTGTATTCATTACACCGATTCTATTGCAAAACGTTTTGCAACGAAAACGAAAGTTTATATTGGACAAATTCAGGTATGTCCCACGTTGTTCGTCACTAGTTAGCACGGCCACAAAGTCAGAAACCTTGCTTATTTCTAAAATGTATATTCTTGAAATGTGTTTTCAAACCTAACCCTAACCGGCACCCTAACCTTAACCACATCGCTAACCTTGCATAACCCTAATCTTAAATGAAGACCAAAAAGCACATTTTTGTTTTAATGAATTTTTACGATATATTTTCACTTTGTGGCTGTGATATCTAGTGGAAACATTTTACCCATTTTAAATGTCCATTTCAATGGGGTAGGAGTAGGGAGGTCCCAATGACCCGAATAGCACGGACAATCATTCATTTTAGAAATAATTGTTTTCATGCCGCCAGGGGGCGTCTTTACTTAATCATCGTTCCTTTTAATTACCATATTATAGAAAGGATTCAATGGATTGTCTTTTCAAATAATCAAATCAAATTGTATTTGTCACATGCGCCGAATACAACATGCACCTTACCGTGAAATGCTTACTTACAAGCCGTTAACCAACAATGCAGTTGAAGAAAGAATTAAAGAAAATATTTACTAAAGAAAATAAAGTTTAAAGAAAATACATAAATAAATAAAGATATGTTCCCCGTTTCATATATTTCTGTAATTTATCCGAATATTAACAAAGTTATTTTAGGTTTAGTTAAGGATATTTAGCATTAATTTAGCAAACAATTAGTTGTTTTGAGCCTTTCAACAAAGACTTGTTTGGGTTGGATTGTGGCCAAGATATTGAAAGAAACTGCTGATTTTTCGTGCCGACCAATGAATGCAACCCATGAGCTCGTCATTACCTTAGCACGAAGGGATCACGTTTTTCTCCAGCCAATCCGAGTTAAGGGGATCCCATCTCTCTTTTATAAATCGGACTGTTTGTGGACGTGAACGAAAGATAACCATTTGGGATTACACAGGACATTTACAGAAAGCTGTACCAGGGTTTAATCCTATTCCTTACTTGATATAAGGTGATTATTTCTAAATAATTTTCAAAGTTCTAGGATAAACTATGACAATTTCATTGTGTATGTTTATCAAATTTGACTAATTGGTGTGTTATGTTATTCTTTGTAGTTTTGCACCTCTTAGACGAATTATAAGGTATTTTATTCAATGTATATTATATCCTAATAATATAATATAATATGCCATTTAGCAGATGCTTTTATCCAAAGCGACTTACAGTCATGCATGCATACATTTTTGTGTATGGGTGGTCCCGGGGATCGAACCCACTACCTTGGCGTTACAAGCGCCGTGCTCTACCAGCTGAGCTACAGAGGACCATTACTATGGTTGTTGACCACCTAGTTATATGATTGTGTGCCGCTTTTTATTGTGTTAATCTGATGGATAGTGTGTTCTAGACGTGTGTTTGTGCCTATCATAACCTGACGACAGAAACCACAAAGTGCGCTTTTAATTTCCTTAATCGTAAACAGGCATTAGTAACCTTGTAAGTAACCATGACCACACAGCGGCTTGCTGTCATAGCAGCATGCTCTCATGCGTGCTACAAACCAGACTGTTTATCCTTGTGGAAAACCTTCATGGTTTGACTCGATATTACCAGGATGTTGATACAGCGATCTCATTTATATCACACGTTGGTGCAATTGTAATTAGGCAACTACTCTTACAAAACATCCGCATATAAATCCTATTGTTTTTGGTATTACGATTAAATCCCATGTTTGCTGACCAAGCTGTCTTGAAGCAGGATGATGGAGGAGGGGGAGCACAGGTGTAGCGCGAATACATGGACTCGTCTGTTTAGGGCGTACACACGGTCCATATGGTTGTTTCGAGTAGATCCAATTGTCACTATAAATACATCTCTGGACAGGCACAATAGAATAACTGTAGACCTCAAATGGCTAAATTCTAAGAATCAAATGCATGTATTCTAATTTATTGCTCTTTGTTCCAAGCTTTTCAAGGCTCTGTGAAAATGGCCACTTCAGAGAGTGCCAGCTTGAGTAAAGCTGTGAAGCAGCAGTATATGGATCTTCCTCAGGGAGACAAAGTTCAGGCCATGTACATCTGGATAGACGGGACTGGAGAGGGGCTCCGCTGCAAGACCAGAACTTTGGATAATGAACCCAAGACCATTGATGGTAAGTTTTTGTTTTTCATAATGGGTTGCCAAACGACCAATGGGAACACCTTCCCCTTAATGTGATGTGATTGAGATGCTTAAGATAAGATGTTTACATTCATAGAGCTTCACAAACATTTAGGCTAACTTCAATAATACATTGTGTTTTATACAGATGGAGTACTCATTGAATGATCACATTCTGATTGATGGTAGTCCTTACATTACCCTGAACTTAAAGAGTTGTTGAATTGCTTTAGTTCTGTTAATTTCACAGTTCCCCCTCTCTCCTCCTCCAGATCTTCCAGAGTGGAACTTTGATGGTTCCAGTACGTACCAGTCAGAGGGCTCTAACAGCGACATGTACCTGATCCCTGCTGCTATGTTCAGAGACCCCTTCAGGAAAGACCCCAACAAACTGGTCCTGTGTCAAGTGCTCAAATACAACCGCAAGCCTGCAGGTAAGCCTATGCAGTAAATTGACCTTGGGACACAAACGTTTTAAAACTTTTGCAAAATAAAATGAATATTAGTGTTTCTTATTGGACAAGTTCAGATGGTAACTCTGTCAGTAGCATTTTCTTTCGTTTCGTGCCTTGAATGGCCATTGAATCCAGACCCAATTGTCTAAGTAATGTATTACCATGTCTCCCACCAGAAACCAATCTCCGGCTGATGTGTAAGAAGATCATGGAGATGGTAGAGAACCAGGTCCCTTGGTTCGGCATGGAACAGGAGTACACCATCCTGGGCACAGACGGACATCCTTTTGGTTGGCCTTCCAACGGCTTCCCTGGTCCCCAAGGTCAGTTTGAGAGTTGTCTATGTCCCAAATGGCACCCAATTCCCTATATAGGGCTCAACTTTTGACCAGATATATAGGGGAAAAGGCTGCCATTTCAGACATAGCCTCAGTCTTTTAGCAGACTCTTATCCAGAGTGACTTGCAATCGGTACATTCAACTAAAGTACTTACATGAGAGTTTAAACTTTTTTAACCTATGCCAAAAAAAACACTGGCATTGAGCCTGAAGATGTGGTGTTTCTGAACAGGTCCCTACTACTGTGGAGTAGGAGCAGACAAGGCGTACGGTAGAGACATCGTAGAAGCCCACTACAGAGCCTGTCTTTATGCCGGGGTTCAGATATGTGGCACCAATGCTGAAGTCATGCCAGCTCAGGTAGGAAACACTGCACATTGATATCAAAATAAACCCTATTGGGGCCAATTTTTACCAGACACAAATTTAACCTGCCTTTTTAGTCCTGGACTAGGCTTAATCTGTGACTCGGAAACGGCCCAGTGTTCTAAACCATTTGAACTTTCAAAGCTAGTATCTCTCATCCCTAAGCTTCATGTACAGTATGTATTGTGTCTTCCAGTGGGAGTTCCAGGTGGGTCCTTGTGAAGGGATCAACATGGGAGACCACCTCTGGGCAGCTCGGTTCATCCTACACCGGGTGTGTGAGGACTTTGGCGTGGTGGCCTCATTCGACCCCAAGCCCATCCCTGGGAACTGGAATGGTGCTGGCTGTCATACCAACTTCAGCACCAAGGAGATGAGAGAAGATGGTGGATTGAGGTAGGCATGGATTGAGTTTGTGCTGTAAACGCATTAAGGGCCATTTTCCCTGGACCCATATAAATCCTAGGCCTAGACTTCAATGGCAATTTTTCATTGAAAGTGCTTCTTAGCAGAGAGGAAGTGGTGATGCGAAAATCTGTCCAAAATAAGGCCAATGGGTTTATTTTGGACCTAATTTTGTCACCTGCCTTCCTGCCTTTGGGACAACGACTCCCATTGTTAAGGCGGAGACATGAGCATCTCGTCATTATATACAGATCTCTGTTCTTAGTCAAAGACTAGGCTAAATCTCTGTCTGGGAAATCAGCACATAAGATTTTTAGTCTTAAGTCTCTTTAGCAGTGGATTAACCCCTTCCCCCTCTATCCACACAGGGCCATTGAGGAGTCAATCGAGAAGCTGGGAAAGAGACACCGCTACCACATCTGTGCCTACGACCCCAAAGGGGGGCTGGACAACGCGCGCCGCTTGACCGGTCACCACGAAACGTCCAACATACATGAGTTCTCAGCCGGCGTGGCAAACCGCGGCGCCAGCATCCGCATCCCCCGCTCAGTGGGTCAGGACAAGAAGGGCTACTTCGAGGACCGCCGCCCGTCGGCTAACTGTGACCCATATGCAGTCACGGAAGCCATGATACGCACATGTTTGCTCAGTGAAGAGGGGGAGGAGCCTACAGAATACAGCAAATAAACTAGATACTCTGTTGGACTGAAATAAGCCTCCTCCTCTCCTTGAGCTACACCTCATGAAGTGTCATTCCCAGTACGGTTTTGTCTGTGGCTTTGGAAACTCCTTGTAAATTGCATGTCTTGACCATCCATGTAGGGCTTGCTTTTTTAACCATTACAAAATATATATTTTACTTGATGAATGGGAGTATGCTTGATGTATTCTGCAGTGTGTGTGTTCAGGGTAGTGTAGTCCCTACCTTTTAGCTTAATCACTGCCAATATTGCCATTTTAATTGATGCTAAATGATTCCAGACATGTCAGTTGAGGAGGGTGAAATGGTTCCTCTGTAAAGGTCTATTACTAGTTGTTTTTATGTCTATCAATTTGCCACTCATAATGTTGTTTTAACATGATATACTAACCAAGATGCTGTAGATTGATGAATATGCCAGTTGTGTGTGTCTGTCTGGCTCATGTGGTACACAAACCCCAAAAGGATCCAAGGTGCATTTGTGTGTTTATACATGTGTGGATCTCTATTGTCTACCATTAGTAGAAGTTGTATCCAGAACCCATTTTCTTATTTGTAACATTAAAAATATTTCTAATATTTTTAACAATCTATTCTTCTTTGACTTCAATTGTACAGTATATAATTTGGCCATGTTAAAGTAAATGGTAGAGCTCAATCAAAGAGCAGGCAAAGCAGAAGTAAGAGTACAGTGGTGCAGAGATTAATTTAGGTTTACATGCAATCTTTTGTAAGACTCTTGCTGACTGTAAAGGTAACCTTGTCAGATCCAACACTGTGACATGTGCTTCTCAATTTAGCATTTAATCAGGAACACAACCTTGGATCAATCAACAATGTGAAAGTGAGTATATAATTTATTTCCTGTCCATTCAGGTGGATCTTAGGACCTCTGGAATGGACCCTAGTTTTAAGAGACTGAATGAAATTAGTGTAATTACTTACTGTAGGAAATGTCAGTGAGCAATTTCAAGTCCCTTTAACTATAGATATATAGGCAGTAGGTAGCCTAGCGGTTAAGTGCATTGGGCCAGTAAGTAACTGAAAGGTCCCTGGTTCAAATCCCCGAGGTGAAACATCTGTCAATGTGCCCTTGAGCAAGGCATTTCATCCTAACTGCTCCTGTAAGTCTCTGGATAAGAGCGTCCGCTAACTGCTCCTGTTAGTCTCTGGATAAGAGTGTCAGCTAAATGACAAAAAGTACAAATGAGATTGATGCATACTGAATACTCATGTTGGCAAAGAAAATACTTGCTTAAATCGATGCCTATTTAAGTAAAAATTAACTTAATCTATTTCAAACAGTGAAGATTCAGTCAGGGAGAAAGTATCTGATTATGTAATGTGACTGAAGACAATGGGCACTTAGTAGTCACCTGTCTTTCTGCAGTCTAGACATTGCTCTCCTTCGTCAGAGTTACACTGCATTATCAGTGCTGCCTATCTGCACATTGCAAATGAACTGCATTGACCCTGACCACACATTTTTCTTGTGAGGTTTTTTCATATTTCTAGTGAAGCTTTGGCACAAACCACAGTAGCTGCACAAAGACTTGTGCTACCAATTCTTAGTATACTTTTACTTTCATGGAGTGATCTTGGTGATCCATATCTTAATTTCTTTATCAGTGAAGGTGATGCAATACGTTCAGTCTGTTGAATGTTCCTGTAAGTCTTGAGTGTACATCGTGCCAAGAAGGCTAGTGTTATTTGTTTACTTGTTGAGGACAGGACACTGTCAGAGAACATTTAATGAGAGAGCTTCCAATGTCCAATTCCCTGTTATGGAAATCATAATGCCCATGAGACTGTAATTCGAACCCTGGTACAAATACAGGCAATTAGAACACCATTATGATACAGGGGCAGGTGTGTTATCTACATCACAGGTGGAAGAAAAAGGAAAACAATGCTCCTGTTCAAACTCAGAATGTGAAAGAGAGAATCTTGACTGACATGTTTTTGTATAATTGACACCAGAGACATACCAGTATTTTAACTACCATGTGTCTCTAAGTCACGTTCTGTTCTGCTCTGACGGTGAGATTATGAGGCACTTGGCAGGCGAGGGAAGCAGGTCTGTTTTGGTACCTTTAACCTACTTCTGCATACTGCAGGCCCAAAGTAAAGGAAGGAGGGGTGCCTGTTCCCGAGCCACCCAAAAGGCTGCAAGGCAAGGAAACCTAGAAACCAGCCACAGGGAAAACATATTTCAAACTGCCTGTCACTTGGTTTCGATTTAAAGATATTTTGCCAGGTTCAAGTGTTCACTGTACCCAAACCAAAACCAGATTTAATGCATCACTCAGTTATGTATAGAGCCATGTCATCGTGGAATGCTCTGCCACCAGAGGTTACTCAGGCAAAAAGCAAGTTTAGCTTTAAAAAACAGATTTTAATAAACTAATTGTATCACAGTGCCTCTCCTCTTTCTAAAGATCTAATTTAACTGTACTGTTTATAAGAATATTAATATGTATTTATGAATAGTGTGTAAATAGTATTTTTGTTGTCTCGGTGTCTTTCCTATATATAACTCGTACTTTATTTTTTAAAATGTTTTATGTAATGTAATATCTTATGTTGTTCTTGTCTATTACTGTTCTGTACTTTGTCATGTATTTGTACGTTTTATGTGGACCCCAGGAAGAGTAGCTGCTGCATGTGCAGTAGCTAATGGGGATCCTAATAAACTAAACTAAACTACAGCCTCATGCTCCCTATCTATAACATCTGTTGTCTAATTACTGTCACACGTTGTCTCCAAATGATCACCACTGTAACAACTCCCAATCAGTGGATCCACATATGCTTAAGACCCTGTAGATATTGGTATACAAAAATATGACATAACACTAAAGACATGGTAGGGGTGAAAACAGTTACTTCCAATATTCACACACACACACAGAGAAAGAGAGAAAGAGTGGGGTTACGTAGGGGTCACATTGTGTGAAATTATTAGGATTTGATATGAAAGTGTATTTCTATTTATTCATATTTACCCTCCCCCTCCTGCCCTCAGGTCTGGTATAGCGCATGACAGAGACGAGACGTCTTTATGCAGTTGTTATCAAATCAAACAGTCCACTACTGTAGCTCTTTACAGAACACACTCCTAGCATAGTTTATAATGTGAATTTACAGTAAATAGGCTATGGGACAGTGAAAATGTTAACCTCTATATTATCCGAGACCATAACGTCAGATGTTTTCCTATCAACCTGTAGTGAACCATGGAAGTTGTTACAGAGGGCCTGTCCTAAATGGCACCCTATACCCTACATAGTGCAGTCATAGTGTACTACTTTTGACCAGAGCCCTATGAGCCCTGGTCAAAAGTAGTGCACTATGGCTGGGTTTAAACAGGCAACCCAATTCTGATCTCTTTCCACTAAATTGATATTTTGAGAATAATTGGGGAAAATATCAGAATTGGGCTGCCTCTATTAAAGTGGCCCATGTAGGGAATGTGGTGCCATTTGGAAAACAACTAGGGGCCATTTGGAGACAGCTTGCTCTTCTTTGCCAGTCTTGTTTATGAGAAAGTCAAAGTCAAGTTTTTGGAAGTGTGTGTTCTCTTACTGACCTGAGCTGCAGTAGTTTACAGCTGTGTACTGCTTTGTTCCGTCTCCAGCAGAGGAGTGGAACATGTCAGGACTTGTGGGACTTTTTCTATTAGTAAGGGATCTTTTTGTCATGGTTGTTTCTTCCAAATTCTTCCCAACTTATATGTTTGAACAGGTCAACAACTCTAACGCTCTCCCCCTCCTTTGGTGTAGTCCACTACAGCTGGGATGATGACATCATCATGAAGTTATCCACTTACGTATTCAGATATCAGATGTATCATAAACAAAACAACCACCTTTCCGTTGGTATAGTCTAAAATATCATAAACATTCACAGGGAAAGGGTTAACATCAGCTGTATGTAATGTCTAAACATAAAAATATGATTAAACTGCTTGGTCGAGGTAGGTAGCCGTTGGGCCAGTAACCAAAAGGTTGCTGCTTTGAATCCCCGAGCTGACTAGGTGACAAATCTGTCAATGTGCCCTTGAGCAAGGCACTTAACCCTAATTGCTCCTGTAAGTCGCTCTGGATAAGAGAGTCTGCTAAATTACTAAAATGTACATGTAAAAATGCGTATAAAGGCAAGCAGGTTTATTTTCATAGAGAGGGTATGTCTGTTTGAAGTGCATGCAAATAGATTTTACAAGTGGTTAGGCATTATCAACAAAATAATGTATCTTAAAAAGACTAGAAGACAAGTAGTCAATTTCACCTCAACCATGAAACACTATCATGCATGTTGTTTGTTGATGTTAGTTCTATGTATGCAGTTAAGGGTAAGGTGTACTGCTTTGCATGGGCGGTGTGTTCAATAGGGCGATATGGGCGACGCACTGCCAAACGGGAAAAGGAAGGGATTTTTTTTCTAATCAATTATATCACGGCAACAGTAGTTATCAGTGTTCACGTCTGATCTGCCAGCCACTAAATATCAAATCAGGCTAAAGTCGTGCTTCAAATGGCCCCGCCCGCTTTTGGGGCGATTTCAGTCAAGTTGAAAATCGCCCAGAAGTCTCTCATAGCCTGTCATGTAAAATCTATTTTTTTCAAATTTCAAAGCTTTCAATACATTCTCTATGGGTGTCTGTGGGCATGCACTTACGCGCTTTCGTCATACGTGACGTAACCATGAACGTAACTAAGACAATGGCGGCTAGCAGCGTCTCTGTTCATTGTGACCTGCAGTGTGGCGTTATTTTATGTTTTTAATTTGTAGACTTTGTGTACAAACATTCTGCAAACATTCTGCTTTGAACTGATCTTTCGGTTTTGGACTGATCTTGTTGATCGTGTACATACCCGCTACGAACGGACTAAATAATGAAAACGCTGCAGGCAGCTGTAATCCCAATACAGCTGGGAGACTTGGCTGGATGACAGAGTCCCGGACAGAGAAGTGGAGCCGGCCACCT